CCGTTTTACATCCTCTGAGAGCGCATATCCTGATATCCTGAAAGGAGGATCATCCTATGTTCCAGCCTGACCCATACCTGTGAGGGGGACCTCTGTTGATATAAACACCGCGTAATTTTATTACGCTTCTTGTGAGTGCGTAATTCTTACTTCACTATACCACTGGAGCACCACCATTTGATTGAAGATTCACTCAGTGATACTCACGTATATAGACTGTCACGCATACGGCTTATTTAATATTAAGGACATTTATCATACATTGGTTTATTACATTTTATTAGCGCTGCACATTCTTTTATTTATTTAACGAGGGTTTGTTTTTGGTTTCCCTGTGTGTTCAGCTGCTTGTTATAAGAGCGCTCACTTTTTACCACTTGTTAATATACATATAGTTTGAGGTGCATGGAGTAGTTGATTTCACAGCCATATATTTATAAATATATTTCTTTGCCACTGGACGCATGGTTGTGAAATGTGTTATACATGCTATATAGCATTTACCTGACGTCATATTGCTTTTATATTTGTGATATATGAGTTTTCACACTTTTTTCACTTAACTATTTCACATTTTCATGTGTTTTAAGTATTTATTGATAGCACCGCACTAGTTTCTGTTTCTTTAATTTCTTTACTGTGGGAGTGGGTGGCTCACATTAGTGCTAGCAGTTTGGGACAGGGGTTTATTTGGTGGCAGCGCAGGGTTGTTATCAGTTTATTTTTTAGTCAAGAAACTCTTACGCAGTTTAAGACTGAACCGTTTCTTGTCCAACTTCATTGTATGGCCACATGTCTTTTTTAGAGACCTAAGATTAAAGTTTCCTCCCAATCCTAGAGTTACCATTCAAGGATGCTTATATTGTTATATCCCCTCTTAATAGTCACTTCTCCAAGGAGAATAAGTTGACTGTACGGGAAAATTAAAAAAAAAAAAAAACCTGTCTATACTTACCTGCTCTGCACAATAGAATTGCACAGAGTGGCCCGATCCTCCTCTTCTCCGATTCCTCCCACCCCAGTACTTCCCAGAGCTCTTCTCCTCTTGCTGGTGCCCCCAATAGGAAGCGATTCCCGTAGGGGCACTCATGCAGGCTTGCTCCCGAGTCCCGCTGCTGTGTCCACTGCAGGAGCGGACTGACAACTCATGGGGCCTCCGAGCAATAGGGGATCATGGGGCCCCTGTGTCCTTGCCCACACTCAAAGCACACCCAAAAAAGCCTATAAAAAGGGGCATTTCACGGGGCCCCCTACTGACCCCGGGCCCTCGGGCAGTGCCCGAGTGCTTGAATGGTCAGTCCGCCCCTGGTTCACTGACACCCATTCCCAGCTCCCCAGTAACTGGAGTTGATTGGCAGGAGCCAGGAGAGTCGTCGCACCCATGCACAGCGCTGGATCGCGATGCGGCTCAGGTAAGTAAGGGGGGGAGGGCAGGGGGGGTTCTTTTACACAGAAGGCTCTTTACCTTAATGCATATAAGATATTAATGTAAAAAACCTTGAGGCTTTAGAACCACTTTTATGTTTGTAGTCATTCTTCATAACTAAGGTCTTCAAACTCCCATATTAGCTTTGTTGCCTATCTCTGGACTCTCTCCAGTTCAAGGATGTTCTTCCTGAGGATTGGTGACCAGAACAGGAAAGCATTCTCAAAATGTGTCCAAACCAGTGTTTTGTGAAGTTGCATAATTATAATTTTATCACACAGTGTGTGTGTGTGTGTGTGTGTGTGTTTGTGTGTATGCATTTGTGTGTGTGGGATTTATTTATTAAGACACTAGGCCAAAACCAGCCAGGAGACCCAACAAAAAAGGCCTATGGAGAACACTGACTATTGCAGTCAGACAAAGCCAGCAAATTAGAACTATACAAGGGGCGTTCAAGTCAAACATTTAATTTTACAGGTATAAAAAGGGATGATGGCGTGGCGGTACTACACACAGTGGTAAGTGGCAAGTGTGTCCTATTATTAATAGGCGGAGCACATTTCGCGGGCCAGTCAAGAGACCGTTATTCAAGATGTCAGACAACAGTGTTAGTGCGTGCATGGAACAGTGTGTGGTGATGAAGTTTCTTGTGAATGAAGACATAAAACCCGTAGATATCTACAGAAGACTTCAAGCACAGTACAGTGATGAGACGCTCAGCCGCAGTAAGATATATGAATGGGCATTTAACCATTTCCATACCGGGCACTTTTACCTCCTTCCTGCTCAGGCAATTTTTCAGCGCTCTCACATTTTGAATGACAATTGTGCGGTCATGCAACATTGTACCCAAACTAAAATTTTATCATTTTCTTCACACGAGAGTTGGTGGTATTTAATCACCGCCAAGGTTTTTATTTTTTGCTAAATTAACAAAAAGAGCCCAAAAATTTTGAAAAAAAAAACACGTTTTTCTTTGCTTCTGTTATAAAAGTTTGCAAATAAATAATTGTTCTTCATAAATTTAGGCCAAGATGTATTCTGCTACATGTCTTTGGTGAAAACAACCCAAATTAGGATGTATTTTTTAGTTTGTAGGAAAGTTATAGAGTTCACAAACTATGGTATATATCTGAATATTGATCAATCCTGAAGTGCTGACGGCCAATCTAATTTCTTGAGGTCCAAGAATGTCAGAACAGTACAGATATCCAACCAAATGACACCTTTTTGTAAAGTAGACAGTCCGACGTACTTCATAACAGGCATGGCGAGTTTTTTGAAGTTGTATTTTTTTTGGCATAATTTTTCGGAAAATGAAAAAATTAAAAAAATTATTTTCACTATTTATTTTTTACATACTGTCACCAGTGCAGTACAGCGTCATCATATAACTGGCATGGCGGTGATCAGGGACACTGACTGGTGACAGTATGAAAAAAATAAATATTAATTTGAATTTTTTTTTTATTATTTTTAATTTTTTATTAAATTTCTTTTCTTTTTTTTAAGATTTCACTATGTCCAAAGTAGTACAATGCTACCATAGTAACATTGTACTACTTTGAGGAAGTGATCAGTATATATATATATTTTTTTTACACAATTTGCTTATAGCAAAGAATTACTTTGCTATAAGCCAGCATTTACCTGAATGACATCGATTCATTCAGGGTTTTTTTTTTTTTGTGCTTAGTTGTGATTTGGCCACAGCTAATCACATGACATGTGCATGTGATCGCTGTGACCATTCACAGCTAGACACTAGTATACAATGGATGGCATGAATGAAGCCATCCATTGTATACAACTGTCATGTGACCTGCTGTGAATGGTCACAGCAGGTTACATGGTACCGGCAATGGGGGCCGGTACTCAGATCTGTCATCGGCCGTGTCTGAGGTACACGGCCAGTGACAGATCGCACCGCTGCGCAGCTCTGCAAGCGCGAAAACTGCGCATGCCCGGGAGGACGCCATATGGCGTCCACCCGGAAATCTACAGCATTTTGCCAGCCGCCAAATGGCTATTGGCCGGGCAGTTATTGGTTAAAATGTTTCAAAGATGACTGTACGTCCGTCAGTGACGATCCTGGCCGTGGTAGTCCCCAGTCCATTGCAGTCATTCCTGTGAACATTCAATGTGTGGAGAGCCTAATCCTGGATAATCGACACATAACCTATAGTGAAACTGCACAAGAGATGAATTATTCTGTGGAAAAGGTCCTATGATGGTTCAGGCGTACTGATAAATCTTTCTGTGCCAAAGCTTTCCAGGCATTAGTTAAATGATGGGATAAGAGAATAAATGTAGCAGGGGAGTATGTCAAAAAATAAATGCAGTTTCCACTCCTTGAAATTTGTTCTTTTATTATAATAAACTCAAAAGTCCTGGTTTAGCTTGAAGGGTGTAAAAATTGTGCTGGTATCAAAAGTTCCTACACCTGAAAATACTGTGTCTTATATTGAAAATGAATAAGTTACTGAAGTTACGAAAATTCTCGTAAGACAGAATACAACTTCCCACGACGATGTAATGTATTGTATTGTATTCTTTTGTTTCTGAGCAAGTGCGGTCCTGGTCACTTGATTTTTTACGAACAAATACTGTACTGATTAAATGAAAATCATTTGTTGCGTTATTGTAAGAGAAAAATGTTCACGCTTGTCCCTTCGGATAATTTTGCATGAACTGTCCTGATCAGCTCTCAAAAACTGTGTACTAACGATCAGATTATCAGATGATTGCTAAGAAAGCGGTACGTTTCCTCTGATTTTCTAATAATTTTGACTTGGCATAAGAACATACCAATATCTGATGTAAGAATATGTTTGTCTGTGATGACCCTAACGAATCAGCTTATTCCTCGAATGAAACAGAAAGATGAAACGAAAATATTGATAGTTGCTAAAGATAGCTGAAATATTTCTTGTTTCAGACACTTTGCCCAGTGCGTCTCTCATTAAGAACCAGGTAATGAAATGTGGTGCAATTCTTTCCTCCTACAACAAAAAAATTCTATAAATAGAAGAATCACACCTGTGTTCACCATACCAAGTGGATATAAATGGAACTCAATCAAATACTGAAGACCTCTGTGTGCAGAACACAATACAACATTTGTTCTTTCCACGAGGTCAGAGGAAGGCCTGTCTGTAATACAACAAAGCAATAAAGGTACTGAAGTTGATATACTCACAGTCTGGAAAACAAACTGCTAAATATCAGGTCCCCAAGTCCAATGAAATACTAAATAGTTCATTTTTATCTCCTCTAGCCAGTGCTAAAGATATCCAAGGACATTTTTATTTTGCACATGACACACTCAACTGTACTATTGTAGTTTTCTGTAATATTGTGAATTGAACACACAATTTAAAATAATAACTTTTGTCATGCCACACACAGGTCAGTTTTCAGAGATAAGAGTGATTTATCTCTTCATTTTAGAAAGGCTTAGAAATTGTTTTAGTTGCAACAGTCAAGAGTGCCACATAAGTGAATCATAAAGAGCCCAGGAGTGACTCAGCATACAATATACAATTGTTTAACATTTACGATATTATTTTTTTACCTCGAGTACTCGGCCTGTAATGAACTTCTCGCAGTGATCACATTTGATGCCAAATTTAGCATGGTAGTCCATTTCACAATAAGGAATTCCATCTCTACAAGAAATTCATATTAGGAAATAACAAAACTGAATATTTTCTGTTAAATTATATAAATCTAGAAAACCAAAAGCAGAAGACCCAGGTATGTGTGTACAGTCATTCTACGTATATTGAGTTGCACGGTCATTGGTGAATCCCGGAGTTCACTTAGTGATCATGCCTCCCGTGGATCACCTTGGATAGGCTAAGGATATACATGAAGCCTTGACCTTCAACACAATCAAAATTAAGCCTCATACCCTACAGCCACTAAGCCCCACTCCATTATGCCATAGTAGGATAGGGCTTTGCACTGGGAGAAGTGGGGATTAACCATGATTAGGGTTGAAGTCAAAAGCCCAGGAACATACTGTTGGAATCCTTATCTTGTAAAACAACCCATTCTGTTTAAAACAGAAATGCAAAGCAAACATTTGTGTAAATATATATAAAAGATTATAAATACCCTTTTTTTCCTTTTTTTATATGAGATCACATAACATTTGTTCTCAGCTGCATAAGGGGCTTAGAGAGCTAGGGGTGGAGACTGCAGGGGGCGTGTCAACAGCAGGAGAGAAAAAGCAATACTCTGATCTTCCCAGTGAAGGTGTCAGGGCTCCGGGTATGACCAGAGGTGTGTGGACTGACACAGGGAAACGCAGGCTTCAGATATAGTATAAACAATATAATTTATTTAAGACTAAACAATACATAAACGCAGTGCAAGACTAAACATAAACACAGTGCAAACAAACCAAACCAAAACCCCCAACAGATCACAAAAGAACAATACTAAGCGTAGTCGGGCAGGCCGGGTCAGGAACAATCAGGCGGACAAGGTACCAAAGGAGCAGACTGGAGAGTGGTCAGGGATAGCAGAGGTCAGGACAGGCGGAGTTCAATCAGAGTCAGGGATCAAGCAGGATCAGACAGGAAGCCGACAGGATGCAGGTACAGGGGCTCTTGGGAAACATACACCAGGGCCCTGATTGCAAGTTTGGCCATTCCTTATATGCACCTCCTGCAATCAGCCTCAGGTGTTTTGGCTGACTGCAGGAGTGAGCCTCTGGTTGCTGAGAGCACCCTCTGGCCAGTACTGGTACTGCAACCCACAAGGCAGGTGAGTCCCACCACTATTGGCGAGTCCATTCCTGACAGAAGGGTGTGTCAGCACAGGTAGCCATTGGGGGATAGGAAGGCTGTGATCACAGTACAGCCAGAAAACTGACCACACTGGAAAAGATGTGCTTCTATGCCTTGCATGGTCAGTTTGGAATAGGAAAGAAGGGGGACTGGCAGGATCACCAGGTATTTCACACATTCAATGAAATGCCAAGAGAACAGGACACTTTTTAACACAAGTACATTCAAATATCGAATATTCGAATATGAAAGGTTGGGGTAACATACACTTTAAGAATGGAATTAAGACCTAAATGGGCTTAAAAGGAACGCAAGGATCATTTTAACCACCTTGCCTTATGGGCCTTGATGCCGAGAGGCTGCATATATGCATACCTAAATGTAAACAAACCTGTGCTGAGAATGCGCACTATGTACGCTCCCGACACAGTTACTGGCACAAAACGAAAAGCTCGCGATTGCTACTTGCGATTGGGAGCTTTCCAATCATTTGACCGTTGTGACAGACAATCACGGCAGTTACATGATCATAAACTCTGCCCCGCCTGGCGGCATCTGAAACCCCTTAAAGACCTGGGAGGCATCGGCGTTAAAAACTAAAGCTGGCCATACACTATTAGAATTTCATTAGAAAATTTACCTTTTTTAAAAAGTTTGTTCGATTTTCTAATTGTTAGTTGGGTAAAACTGAGGTCATTCTCAAACACAGTGATGAGAAAATTAGAAGGAACGGGGTAGAACATTTTTTGAATGAATGAATTTCTAACAGCATATGTGGTTTTCATTTGGTAAAGTCCATTTGTTCCAAAATCGAATTTTCAAAGCAAGACATCGAATGTACAGAGATTTTTGTATGAATTTCATATGAATGTTCCTTAAAGGCCAGGTCACATTCATATTAAAGTAATTGGAACACTTTTAAAGATCACCCCGCATCACCCACACCCATGCCATCCTATAAACAAGAATGAAGGATAACTACCATGCTAAAACCAGACTTTTATACCTCCTACATAGTGGTTTGTTCTTGACAATAATAAAATTACAGAGTATAAACAACTGATATCTATATAGAGCTAGATATGTTTTTGCACAAATGTAAATGCTAACCTTATACAAAATGAACATACAGTAACAACAGCAGACAAAAGCTCATGCAGAAGACAACTTTCTCACTTACTTGCTAATGTATTCTGCCTTTAAATGAACCCCACAGGTTTTGCATTTGAAACAGTCCAAGTGCCAGTGTTTTTCTAGGGCAACCAATGATTGGCCATTTTTTATTTCCAAGCCACATCCACCACAGTCTGCGAATAAGAAAAACATATTATTGGTTGTTCTGAAATCAACAGGGTGAAAAAATTATTACTATTGGGAGATAATGCTTTTAATGACATGTTGGTAAACAATGGTGCTACCAAGGTGAAAGGGAACCGCAAGGGATCTGGCCTGACTGTTTAGGTGGAGTCCACTCCGGGTTTTCGGGGCCACAGTTAAGCAGGTGGTTCCGGACCAGAGTTTGGACTCCACTGATCTCCACCAACAGGTGATATAAAAAGGGCAGGGCTGGAGCAAGGAGTTGCTCGTGGCCTGGGACTCAGAGAGGTATTCTGAGAGAGCTGTGTGTATGGACTATACCTGCAAGAAAAGGTTTGCTGTTATTTTGTTTTGGTGACAGGGAGAAGCCCTTCACCTCTGAGAGAGGAATCATCTGCTGTTTAGTTAGTGCCTGGATGGCAAGGGTTTATTTTGATGTTTTGTTTATTTTGATATTTTCTTGCAAACCTTTTTAATAAAAACTGACATCCAGTCAGATTTTGACGAAAGCCTGCTGTGCGGTCTACCTTTGTCCCAGGGAAGGAGATCCCCCACCTGAGCTAACCCCACATATGGAGGATTTGGCGGGCAACTTCCTGAGCAAGTGGGAAGATGGAGGAAGTTATAAGAGCCTTGCTGCAGGCCAACGCAGCACAACGGGAGACGAATCGCCAGTTGTCGGAAGCCCAACAAGCACAACATGAAGCCCAACAAGCAGACCGAGAGCTCCTTAAGCAGGTGGCCCAACACCTATTGGAATTAAAGAAGGAATCTGCAGATACGCTGCCAGTGGAGCAGAAAATGGCGCGGGCCAGCTATGTTTTGCAGAAGATGACACCTGCGGATGATGTGGAGGCCTACCTCACAACTTTTGAAAGGGTTGCTGTTCGGGAAGGATGGAAAAAGGAGCAATGGGCAGGACTGCTTGCACCATTTCTGACGGGTGAATCCCAAAAAGCCTATTATGACCTGGAACCAGGGGATGCCCAGGACTATGAGAAACTGAAGGCTGAGGTCCTTGCACGCCTGGGCGTCACCATTGCAGTCCGGGCTCAGCGGGTGCATCAGTGGCATTACAGGGCTGACAAACCACCCAGATCTCAGATGTTCGATTTGATACATCTCTCCAAAAAGTGGCTCCAGCCAGAGGTATTGTCAGGCCCTCAGATTGTGGAGCGTGTGGTCATGGACCAATATTTACGTGCACTCCCTGCCACTTTGAGGAAGTGGGTCGGCCGTGGAGACCCTAAATCTGCAAATGAGCTGGTGGACCTGGTGGAGAGATATGCAGCCGCTGAGGACTTTTGGCACTCACCTGGGCCGTACCCCAAGGTCACTAGGGGTGGAAAACTATCCGGAGGATCCGGTAAGACTGTTCCATGGGCCAAAGGCTCAGAAAAAAATGATAAGACTATTGTGTCAGATAATGAGACTGTAGGCTTAGGACCTAGAGACTGGCCAAATAGGTCAGGAAGGTCCCCAAAGCCATTTAGGGAGGTCTAAGCACTGAACATATAATATGTTATCGTTGTCATGCGTTAGGTCATATTGCTGCAAACTGTCCTTTAAATGATGAACCTATGCAATGTGAAAATGCTTATTTAGGAAAACGCATGTCTCTTTTTGCACAGGTGGTATGTACTGCAGCATGTCAGAAACGCATGGAAAAGCAAATGTGTGTGATTGCCATTGATGAAAAGCCAGTAACTGCTCTGCTAGACTCGGGTAGTGTTGTGACCTTAGTTAAAGGTGATTTGGTAAACCCTGCAAGGTTACACCCTAGCACGATTGGGGTTATTTGTATTCATGGTGATACACGTAATTACCAGACTGCTCTGGTGGAGATTGGTACTCCCCTGGGGCCCTGTGACCCATTCAGTGGGGGTGGTGCCCTCTCTGCTTCATGAAGCCATAGTGGGGAGAGATTTTCCCCATTTCTGGAAGTTATGGGATAAGGAGGGGAGTCAGGAGGACCGAGCTCCCCCTGCTGGGGAAACGCCGAAACTCTCCTGAACTCACTCCTGACCCCTTTGACGGCAAGGTGGAAGGGGAAACTGTTGGTGTATCCGAGGAAGGTGTAGATCTTTTTCCTTTCTCTGTAATGGCTGGGGAGCAGGAGGAGTTGGATCCAACCCCAGACAGTGAGGATATAGAACAAGAGATGATCGCTGGCTCTAGTGAGAGTGGACAGAATGTGGTGCCTGACCTAGAGGTCAGAAAAGAGGATTTTTGTACGGAACAACTGAAAGATTCCACACTTAATAGAGCCCGTGAAAACATTAAAATGATTGATGGGGAACCAGTTGAAAATGATGTAGCGGTGTCTTTTCCCTACATGGCTCTTAACAATAACTTGCTGTATCAAGTGGTAAAGCAAGGGGAGGAGGTGGTAGAACAGTTAGTGGTCCCCAAACCCTTTCGCCGGATGGTACTAGATTTAGCCCATGGGCATATAATGGGTGGACACCTGGGTGTAGAGAAAACAAAGGAGAGAATAACCCAGAGATTCTTTTGGCCAGGCTTACATGGAGACGTCAAAGCACATTGTGAGTCATGCCCGGAATGTCAATATTCTGCGCCCTCACCCCATTTTCGCAGTCCGCTAGTACCTCTACCCATAATTGAAGTACCGTTTGAAAGAGTGGGCATGGACCTAGTGGGTCCAGTAGTAAAGTCTGCCCAGGGCCATCAGCACATACTGGTTATACTTGACTATGCCACCCGGTATCCTGAAGCCATCCCCTTGCGTAATACCTCCGCTAAAAATATCGCCAAAGAGCTTGTCCGGGTGTTTAGTCGTGTAGGTATCCCAAAGGAGATATTAACGGATCAGGGCACGCCATTTATGTCTAGAGTTATGAAAGAGTTATGCAAATTGTTCAAAATCTCCCATCTCCGTACCTCGGTCTACCACCCCCAAACCGATGGGCTTGTGGAAAGGTTTAACAAGACCCTTAAGAATATGTTAAAAAAGGTGGTGGACAAAGATGGGAGAAATTGGATTTTTTGCTACCATATCTCATGTTTGCTATACGAGAAGTACCTCAGGCATCTACAGGATATTCACCTTTTGAATTACTGTATGGTAGACATCCCAGGGGATTGCTAGATGTCGCAAAAGAAACCTGGGAGGGAGAGACCACGCCCTATAGAAGTGTCATCGAGCATATCTCACAGATGCAGGATAGAATCGCAGCTGTCATGCCACTTGTTCGGGAACACATGGAGCAAGCCCAGGAGGTCCAGAGAAGGGTTTATAACCGGGGTGCCAGGATCCGTACCTTCAACCCTGGGGATAGAGTGCTGGTGCTAGTCCCCACCGTGGAAAGTAAATTCCTCGCAAAGTGGCAAGGTCCCTTTGAAATTAGGGAGAAAGTGGGGGAAGTAAATTATAAAGTTTACCAGCCAGGAAAAAGGAAACCCGAACAAATCTATCATGTGAATCTCTTAAAACCTTGGAAAGACAGGGAAAGTTTGTTGGCAGTACCAAGACCCCAAAAAAGGACGTGGTTCCCGTGGCCCCTCAGGTACCTATAACGGAAACCTTGTCAGTAGCCCAACAAAATGAGGTTAAGGAGTTTGTGAGGAAAAATGGAGATTTCTTCTCCCACCTACCTGGACTGACGACTGTCATACAGCATGACATAGTTACCCAGCCCGGGGTCCGCGTAAATGTCAAGCCCTATAGAATACCCGAGGCCAGGGGAAGCGGTGGCAAAGGAAATAAAGGACATGTTAGAGTTGGGAGTGATTGAGGAATCTCACAGTGAGTGGTCGAGTCCCATAGTGCTGGTCCCAAAACCAGATGGAACCATTCGTTTCTGTAATGATTTCAGGAAACTGAACAGTGTGTCCAAGTTTGATGCGTACCCGATGCCTCGGGTGGATGAGCTCATTGACAGGTTGGGAACGGCTCGGTACATAACCACCTTAGATCTGACCAAAGGCTATTGGCAGATTCCGTTAACGGAAGCTGCAAAAGAAAAGACAGCATTCTCCACCCCCGAGGGGTCCTTTCAGTATAAGCGGATGCCGTTTGGTTTGCATGGGGCTCCTGCATCATTCCAAAGGATGATGGACAAGACGTTGAGACCACATCGCCAATATGCAGCTGCCTACTTGGACGATGTCGTCATCCACAGTCCCGACTGGGAATCTCATTTGTCCCTCTTGCAAGCGGTCGTAGATTCGCTGCGGGAAGCAGGTCTTACCGCCAACCCCAGAAAGTGTGCCATTGGCTTAGAGGAGGCCAAATATCTTGGCTACATCATTGGTCGAGGTCTCATTAGGCCTCAGATCAATAAAATTGAGGCAATTCAAAAGTGGCCCCAACCTGTAAATAAAAAACAAGTCCGGGCATTTCTTGGAATCACGGGGTACTACAGGCGGTTTATCCCCAATTTTGCCACCATTGCAGCCCCACTGACAGATCTGACAAAAGGTAGGGGGTCAGTCATGATTAAGTGGAATCCTGAGGCGGAGACCGCATTTCAAAGGCTGAAACAAGCTCTCTGTGCTCAACCTGTGCTTGTGACCCCAGAGTTCACAACAGAGTTTGTGGTACAGACTGATGCCTCTGATGTGGGACTAGGTGCTGTACTGTCCCAAATCAGAGATGGGGAGGAGCACCCTGTGGTCTTCCTAAGTAGAAAGCTCAACAAACATGAGAGAAACTATGCCATTGTGGAGAAGGAATGTTTGGCCATCAAATGGGCCTTGGAGGCCCTGAAATATTACCTGTTAGGAAGACCGTTCAAGTTGGTTACTGATCATGCCCCGCTCAAATGGATGTGTGATAATAAGGAGAAAAACAGTCGAGTGACAAGGTGGTTTCTCGCGCTACAAGTGTTCAAATTCACAGTGGAACACAGAGCGGGGAAACTGCAAAATAATGTAGATGCCCTCTCCCGGGTCCATTGTCTGGTTGGGACAGTTGCTCAGCCGCAGGGGCTTGAGCAGAGGGGGGGGGGATATGTGACAGGATGAACGG